GACGAGCACAAGTTTTACGTTGCTCCTGTGGAAGGATATGCGAAGGTAATCGGCGAGTTATTTTGAATCAACTTATTTTTACGCCGAAGCTACTTTGTTCTGATCACAGTTTGTGGCTCATTTTCTGCCTGAGGGTCATTTTTCAAAGTGCACTCCTTTACTCCTATAGGCTACTGGATGCATTGAAGGAGATCATATTTCCATGACAGTTGGCACCTGCGGGCTAAATCAATACGATACGCTTTGCGTGAGTGATTTTTACGATCTGGCACTCCTGTAGTCTTTCCGAACATCTAAATGTGCATTTGGTGCCAAACTCAGTGGATATTTAAATATATTTCGGCACAAGTTTCGTTTCCTTTATTCGTAATTACAAGTTTTATTCATATCCTGATTTGAATTTGCAAAGTCTGTAGCGTATTCATTAACATTTATATTACAGTATGTAGTCAAAAGTACATCTAAGAACGGGAGAGCGTAGTCAGTCCCGAGATGATGCGACAAAAAGCACCTGCTCTACGGTTTTGGTACCACTGGTGCTCCTCGCATCTTCAAAGTTCGTCTTTCTTTTCCTGCATGGATTTCAAGCTGTCATTTATCACATCAATTAGATTTTCATTCTCCAGTGCAGCAGCAACGCGTTCCTTATCAGCCAGTTGCTTATTAACTGAAAGGTTAAAAACATGCAATGCATTGCAACTAGATCATGGTAAAACGAACATGGCAGTCAGTAACAAAGCAAAGACGTTATTGAAAGATAGATTTCACTGTAACGGGTGCGTGAAAACTGATCAGTCCTAATTTCCTTCCGCGTGAAGGAAGGCGTATGACACTTTATCACGCTCTTTTCAAACAGTCGGTGGTATGTTTTTCTATTTTCAGATCTGCCTTTATCGCGGCATGGATCCGTCAATTTCCCTTGCTCCTTGCTGTTTGCCGATTATTTCACAACAGGCCTTGACAACACGTTAGGTATATACAATAAAAGCGTCTCGATATCTCTGCTTGGCTCGCATAGATCGTTTGTAGCCCCTGTCCAAGGCGTAGATGCAAAGTCGATTAATATGCCACTTTTACTTCCATATTTAAAGAGAGTAACTAGATTTGCCAAGGTTATGACTGGTTGAGAAAATGCATTCCACATTAGGATAAACTTGCTGCGCTCTGAACATTTTTTCTGATTGTCTGTCCTGTCAGTTGCATATTCCAAAACGGAACTTTGCGACTCGAACAGTTCTAGTCTGCAGATCTAAGGGCAAACATTCTCACGGCGTAATCTTGTTGTTCAAATGCTATTTATGTTCACGACGGGCTTACTGGGACATCGGCAGTACTTCCTAGGCAGTTCAGTATGGAAGCCATTTGTTTTAGTAGTTGAATATACGGGGCATGACGATATCTTGCAGCACGGCTGGTTAGTGTTGGACTGTTTCTGCTTGTTCTTTTGGCATTAGTTCTTTACTAGCTTACCTCATATCCTCCATTCTCAAATTTTTCGCAGCAATATTTTGAGGCTTTAAGCAACAATGTGCAAGAACAATGGGACTTTGTTACCGTTAACCAGTTAAAGTTGGCACAGAACTGTTGTTGATTTAATATTAAGCGACAAATTACCATTACTAAAACTTAGCAGTCACCACTAGCTGCTAGCTGCAGCAGATTTAGACTTTCACACGTATAGCACATATAACTAATAGAGGTTTGCCAGTGTTGGCGTAATATTAGAAATGTAACTTGCTTTTACCGCTTATTTTTCGTCCTTCGTCCCATTTGGCTTAAGCCTCACGAAGTCGTAAAAGTTTTCTTCGGTAGCAAAGTCAGGCAGCAGCATCTTAATTACTCCAAACATTACACCCTCCTGTCCTGTACATCCTAGGCAGTTTTTCACTGAGTATCTTTGTTCTGGCTGTGCAGCATAAGGCGATTAACCAAGACAGGCATACTCGAAGATAAGGCGTGACAATTAAAATCCCGTAAAGTTTATCGATTACGCTAGACTTCTTAAACAGATGGCATTCCTTAGATTTAAAGAATGGTCCTAATTATCTACGCATTTTTTGACAGTGCGAATATTTTTAATCTATTATTTAGCAAGAGAATTCATATTCAAATTTTCCTGAGGATTTCTAGTTTTTTAACTAGACTTGCATTCTCTGTACAGCAGCAGTTCTTACGTATTCGCAACGAACCACCGATGATTAACTTCGGCAGATAATCACTGTTATACAGTTCAACTGAATAAAAGCCCATTCGATGACGAAGTGCTACACCTAAAACCTACATGCTGTCATGAGGATGAAGAAAGTCAGCGCTGCTCAAGCGGCAAAGATTTTGAAAACTTTACAACGTTTCCTCTGGCATGTCGAATGGCCTTCAAACGTTGCGTGGAAAAAATAAAATATTTTATCGTTTGCGCAAAACCTTTACCAGTAATGCCCAATTTCTTGCACTCTGTGCTTCCACGATTACACAGATCTCTAAAATAAACTGAAAAGAAATGTCAGTTTTTTCTATCGCCTGAAGCGGATTCGAAAAGTTTTTCGAATGATCATTTTGCTCTCTGCTTCAATATACAGTTCCCTTCATAAAAAATAATCAAACTAGAAATCTACGCTGATATAATTCAAAGAGGACTTCGCAAAATGCGACAGGATGAATCATAATCATCTTGTCCGTTAGTATTTCGCTCATTCTTTTCAGCCGCCTGCTCAGGTGTAAGTAGGTGCTAAATTGTGGAAGTTCCCTTGAGCAAGGAATTTACGGGTTGCTCAGCTAGTAGATCGTCGAACGCAGAACCGAAGAGTCCCAAGTTCAAGCTCTGGTTAGTGTCACTAGCCCTTGTTCTTTCTGAGGTTAAAACAAAACAGGTTATAAATCACTTTCCGAGTGATGAGTACCTCTCTGTGGGAAGGAAACAGCAGATTACGCGCTACGCTTTCCCGTGTGACAAAGTAAAGCACTTCTGGCTAATGGTGCAGAAATGGACATCATCAACTTCACAAAAAAAGGGCGCCAAAATTTCCAATCATTGAACTGAAAGAAGACCGACATTCTAACGGTGAATAACTTTCTTTTCCTTAATTCTGTGATGTAGAGAGCGAGTGCCTCCTTGGTATTAATACAAAAACGAATGTCTAGTAGTATTATAAGCGTTTCTACTATTATTTGTAATGTGATTTTCAGCGGCTGCATTTAGGTTGAAGAAATGGACAGTATGTTTAGTGCTTTCATTGTTTCGACAGGAATTTTTACACAAAGTTGAAGTAGTGCTAGTTTACATAGCGACGAAGTTAAATAAGCACGACGCATAGTCGCCCATATGTATGAAACGCAATGAGGAAATTCTTACTAGCAGCTTCGCTCTGATGCGAACCGGGGGTTATAAATACGTCAATCTTGAAGCGAGAAGGCAGACAGCGCAGCATCTTCACCTTAATAGCCAGACCAATTAATGTCGCCACTGTACAATGTGGAATTGTAGGAGTGAACATAAGTGAAACGTAGTTATGAAGATCATCGATCTAAAAATACATAAAATGGAGGCTGTAAAATATAGTAATCAAAACAACCTCTATTTTTGATTCTTCTACAATATTCAGTTCTTCTAGAGTCAGTGGATGTTCAGGGTCACGGATGTCTCGCACAAGATGTATAAAAGAGTTAAGGAAAATAAAAAAGGAAGCAATCAGTCGATAAAGCCGCTTCTTTATACCAAATACTGCTGATACTTTCCAATGAAACATGATGATTGCGTCATGCAATTGCATAGGCTGAGAATCGACAATATTGCTTACAATGTTTATGCATAAGAAAGCTACCATTTCTTAGCCACAAGGGAAAACATTTAACGGCTTTAAATTACTGAAATCAACTGTTTCTTTCAAAGTTTCAACTGCACAATTCTTTTACATCTTTATTTTGATGTTAACTACAATTTTTGTGAAATGAAAAAAATGTTATTGTTTCTAACTTATTCCCATTAATAGGAGAAACCTGCAAAGCTCAGTTCCTTCTGCATTCTGTGATCTTTATGCAACTTTTCAGTCATTTGACACAGCCCTATGCCCATTTTTGTATCGCTGTCTTTCCGTTCTTCGCTTAGACATCATATATTTGGGTTATTCTGCATCTTAAGCCCTGCTAACCTCAAATGATAAGGCAGGTATTATCACCTTTGCAGCACAGCGTCTACACTGTACAACCATCAGGCCTTATTACTCGGCCTTACTGATAAACTCTCCTATTATTTGAACGACTGCCGACACGATATGCACATGCACAATATGCTTGTCTCAGACATCTTTTTTATGTTTACTATTAACTTGACTGGGCATCCGCAATTTGATGAATTTCAGTTGTTGTTCACGACTCTGTTTCCGCATAAAATACATCTTAATACTGTCGTTGAGATCGCTGTCCTTAATTTGTTAAATTTTTTATCGTAGAGCTTTTCTCGATTAGACTATTACTTAATTCCCGGACACAGAATGCAACATAGTACTGCCTACTGCAGGTTTTTAGTTAGTCGGTCCGTTACTACCGAAAAGTCATATACTTATTACTAAGCCTCGATACTCTCATGGGAAACTCTTTATGAATAGGATGTAGGTGCAAACACAGACGTCACGTTTTGGGTAAGCTGAACGGAAATTCTGACAGCCGTTTCTTTCTAACGTTCAACCATATTGAATTCCTCGTAATTCTATCAAACTTGTTTAAAACCTACCAAAATTTTTATACAGTTGCTTAGGTCTCTGTATGTTTTTGAAACCGCTGCTATTGCAAACATGCAGTTTTGTCGATTATTTAGCATAAGCCAAAATGCACTTCAGTAATGCCCATCTCAAGTCTCAACGGTCTCTCGAAGATTGTTTTAAACAACCTCAAAGGTGATGCAGCAACTTCATTTCCTCGAAGTATTACTGGAGTCAGTATTCCAAATTCTATCTTGCATAGCAGCATTAGAATAACACCTCTCAAATCTTGCGCTATCGTTCAGCATTCATCAATTTTATCCAACAACGAAAAGTCAAGCAACGACATTTTTAGTCCCTCTCATTTCTAAACAGGAATATCCTCGACGTTAAAATCTTTTGTTTAATGGCAAAAAGCGCATTAACGTAACGTTTTATCGTACACATGCAAATGTTTAAAATGAATTTCTTAAGCAAAAATTTTATCGAATGAAAAACAAGTAAAGGAGCCATATATAACAATATAGCTGCAAGAAGATCCTGTGTCCGTTCTCAAAAAACAAATCTCATCATCAGAAACGCAATTTTTGTCTCCTTTACTTCTTTGACGCTGTAATAATATGCTTAAAAATAGGATTGGCCACACGGTAATGATGTCAATATTCATCAAATAACGCTAGCGGCGGTTACAATTAAAATAACAGTATTTCTATGCGATCATGTTGGGCTGCCAATTTTGTGTACTATCAAAACTCCGGTTTACTAAGTTCCTTTCGCCAGAAAACGGGGAAAATTCAAGGATATTATTAACACAAAACGTTTCGTCCAACTTGTACATAATCAAGTGACACGCCATTCGAGACCCGACCAGTTTCTGGCGACCTTTGAAGAACTGACAACTGACGCATTTACGACCGCTGCGTAATCACACTTAACTTTACTGCAACATTGCTTTTAATTTCAAAAAGTTTAAAGGTCTTTGAATGATCCTTAAGGCTGTTAACGACTATGACCTCCACCTGATATCGATTTTTACGCTTGTCTGTCGCATGACATTCTTTAATACCGTTGTAGTTGAATCATTAGTATCCAAGATTAACAGAATGGTAGCTGAGATTCAACTGATCGACAAAAGCCTCCATTATTATTAAACAGCGTTCAATGCTGCGATAAAGATCACATTCCTGGTTGCGAATCGATCCAGTAAAACGGTGTTTCCAAGTCTGTACTGTTCTCTAATCTAACACCTGTGTGGCTACTGGACTGTCCGCATGAGAGAACAATTAAATTTATCGAGACTGGCTTCCCATCTGAGTCGTAAGGATAGTTGTCCAAACCTATCGTAATATCAAAGCTTGATTAACATTATTACTAAAACTCTTACTAACGACTCAACTGGAAGCAAAAAAAGCTGTCAAAATTTCCTAAAACTGACGATATATCTAAGTTACTGATTCAATTTTATAAACATTATTCCAAAGTTTAGCCCAGAAACGTACCCAAAATTCAGCGGTTATCACGTAAAAATTGGGAAGAAGCATGCAACGCTTAAAAATCACGAATGGAACGGAAGTGCATTCAAATTATATAATATTCCTTCATTGAAAGATTATAAAACTATTTAAAGGATATCAAAAATTTCCCGTGTGTCGAAAGGGTCACGAACTTCGTTTTCTAACTCTTGCGTTGTGTAAATTCTTCGGCTCTGTTTCACGTATATTTTCGGAGCTACATTTTGTAACTCCATTGCAATTGTCGTTCCTAAGCAAAATTCGAACACAAGAAATCAATTAAAAACAATTCAATAACATGCTTAATTATTCAGTCATGAACGGTACTATCATTCAAAAGTGAATCCCACAAAAATTTTAATTCAAAACTAGCAATTAGGCTTAATTTTCATTGTGTAATATTAAAAATAACACTGTTCGCTTTCAGAAAGGTCGATCGTTCCTGATACTCTTCATTCAGTATTGATGCCGTGGATGATAAACCCGAGAACTCGATCATGTATGTACCACAGACCGGTTACAGGTGCGCAAGGGCCAGTTCTTTGGAATACATTAATTTTAGGAAAGAAAGACCCTGCCGTACGCATATCTTCCCACGTCAGGAGGTACTGGACTGCGTCTGGAGGGGAGGGGCAGAGATGGCTACGGAAGCCATGGAGGGGATAGAATCCATGTCCTTTTCGAGGTCGACGTTGCTCTGGTCCCTTTTATATTTTTCGAGAATCTTTCTAACATGCTCCAATGCAGACTGTGCATTTACCATATCGACACCGCTAAGTACTTCCACGTGGTCCACATTGTACGGCGGTCGCACCTCAACCTTGTGCAAGACGACAATGTTTTCGCGGTCCCAAGAAACATCCTCTATCGTCTTCCGGATTGCGAGAAATAGCCTTCTTCCTTCGCGAGTGCACCGACTCGAGCAAACGCTTCGCAGTTTCTTGTCGGACTCTTCGCGAGCTCTCTTCTGAATTTTCGCGAAGTTCAGTTGCGGAAGAACGGTCGACGACGAATTCGATCCGGAACTCTCGCTGACGACGGTCACATCTCTCACCAGGTTCAAGTTCACCAGTTGTATATGGGTCTTACCATTCTGCAACGCTGACTTCAGCACTAATAGTCTTGTCACGTTGTCGTACGCCATTACTTCACCTTTGATGCTCTCTCCATGACACGTAACACATGCCACTAATGAACCAAGCTGAAAGTATTCTTGATGGTTCTCCACTGATACCATTATGTTAATTTCTCTGGTCCTTACAGAGACTCCACAATTATCACGATACCACAAAACCTCAATCACTGATAAACAGCAACTTTACTGTCATTCGCTTTCGTGCTATTCTCAGGCACAAAAACCATTACCTACCGTATCTGGAAACTGTCAGGTTTTTCGTGCACATATGACAGTTGACAAAACGTTTACTTTCATTTTTTGCGAGAGATCTAGGCATAGGTTAATATTACCCGTGACATCGTGCCTCACTAGAAGTAATTTTATCCCTACGAAGAACTTTTTAAGCCTGATGGCATTTTCTCTTTCTTTATGCTTGTATTAGCTTATCAATTGCGTTTCGCTTTAATTATTTGTTTGTACTTCGGGTCGGATTAGCGAAATAATAACGTACTTTAAAAGTAACATGTCAAGTTAAGATTTTGCGGTGGTAAATGTATACTACCGACTTTTTGACAAGTTTTCAAATGGGGAAAAACAAAAATGCAACTTCAAAAATGTGAAGAACAGAAAGAGGAAGCCTTGTATATGCAAAAGAGCATGGCTTTACTGCAAAGAGTTTGCGGCAGTATAAGAATCGCGAACAAAGAATTTATTGAAAATTGTAATTTATCTTAAATTATTTAAATAACGAATAGAGAACGGATGCGCTCTGTTTTCACTCTTTCAAGGACCCGCTGAAAGTTTTGCTACACCTCAAGTAACTACAGCGCGAAAGGTAATTTATTTCATATGTATTCAAAGAATTCGCGAGTAGCCCAGTCGATCTACATCCGCTAAAGCTGATTCTAATAGCAATTAGCGACAGGAAGATTGGTACTTAATAGGAGACAGCGTCCAGTGATATTTCTTTGATATGTTCCTATACGATGGCATATTAAAGGTTGTATGTGCATCTTCTTAGTCTGTGAAACATATCGCGAACGCGGGACTCACCAATATGCCAGAATGAACCAGTTATAGTTTCTAGTCACCAATGGGTGAAAACAATGAAAGATTTGCGCCACTCACCTACCTTAGCAGCAGCCTCAGAGGAGAAGGTAAACAAATAGAAGTAGGTTCGCAGCTTGAATAAAAGGCTGTAAGACGATAAAAATTGGCTCCAAAATAGACCACAAAAGCATAAGCAACGGATAAATAATGGACACAGTACACATTGATCAGTTTGAAAGTTTACTGCTCAAATTTAATGACAGTTGGACATTGCTTTACCACTGAACTGCGTACTGCTGAATTACAACGAGATGTCATGGACAGGAATGTTGACATTGTTATCGTTGTAAAATGAAGGCATCGGAAATGAACCATGTTTCTTTGACCATGATTAGTTGTTGTTGCCTCACTGCACGGTAGTCCCTCACAATTCGCCCTTCACTAGTACAATGATCTTCTGGTAAAGCTTCGTCCAGAATGCGATGTTCATGAACTTGGATCTGATGCTGGTGTTGGATTAGAAGCAGTCAGCCAGATATTCATAAAGTCGTTTGGCGGGGAATTTGAAGATAGCCTTCCCATGCATAGGCCGCGTGAGACTGCTGATTCAGCCACTTGTAATGATCGGTAATTTAGGGATGACCACTGAGTTTAGAAACAGGTTTCACTAATCGCCGTATTAAGGTCACATGCTTACAACTCTAGAAAAACAGACCATTGCGTAAGTGTACTGAAGAAAAATTCTGCACTTGCAAATGCCTTGATGCCGTCCCTAGCAACATATCACCACATTGGTATTTTTGCATAAGACGGTGCCTTGCCACAACGATTCGCTTTTCAGTGAACACGTTAATTATTGGAAAAAATCTGACTGCACAGTTACTCTGTACCTAAGTAGCTGATGTAGCTCTCATTTTTCTGGCTAGTCAGCAATTTTCAGCATGTGTCGAGAGATATAATAGTGACTGGTTTTGTGTCTTGCACATCGAGTAAATGTATCATTTCATTTGCCCTTGATGAATAAGAGCTCATCACAGATGAAGTAGCGGTAAATATCAGATGTGCCATTCCTGTAAGTGTCCCAGTTTTCAGATATCTTCCAGAAATTCAGAACGACGATGTCATCAGCATTTTTCACTCGTTTGAACTGTGCATTGACGACGCAGTCATTGGCAAATAATTTGAATTAAAACGGTGAAAGAACCGAGCCCTGTACAACAGCCTAGTTTTCTATCTTTTGTTCGAGCTTTCACCGGTCGACCTTAACGAAGTGCATCCGATTGAGGAAGAAGTTCACAAACCATTGTAATGTGGTATGGTGGATAGAGAGCGCACATCTCGTACGCAAGGGTTTTCCACCAGTGACTGGTGTTGAACTGTGACGGTAAATCAAGGAAAGTGTTTAATGGATGCATTTTCTTTCGTCCACCTCTTTTCAAATGCACTTTTGGCAAATGCGCTGGCTTCACTGATGCAAGTCCTATGCGTACTATGGTAGTTTGATGCTGCTTATGACCTTATCTCGCGAGAATAGTAGAAATAGACCGTGCTAAGCATTCTCTCGTCGTCGATGATGGGTCTCCTGAAAATTTGGTGGGAAACTTGTCCCTGCCGTTCGCCCCAAAGTTATAGATCTGTTATCGTTGAACTCCTTTTCACATAGGAGTAACTTATTCCATGCGCCAGTTATTTAAAATCCATGAGTTGCGAAGGCTGCACTTGAAAACTTCCTTCAGGATTTGAACAGTTCCGCAGAACACTGTTTCCACAGTTGGAGACTCACGTCATCGGGACAGGGATTCAGTTGGGAGAGATGGGTGCTGATATTATTCAGCATGAAGTGCAATGGTATCTTAATTAGAATCTTCGAAAGCATCGTAATTTCGCCATCTTTTATCCTGTTAGATTCTAGGAGCATGAAATGGCGGTTCGATTTGTTCAGATCCGGCATAGATTTATTCTTTGCGTTGTGTAGCACAGAAACATGATATTTCGCCGTAAATTCTTCGTGCCTCTCTCGACAAAGTTAGTTTGGACGTTAGGTTTGTGTAACCGTCTGGTTTCTGACTTGATTTTCATTGAGATAAAGCCGTAGAATTTGCGATCGCCAGAGTTGCACGACCTTTACGTTAAGTGCGGTAGAAGCTTCAATGCCTTGGTTGTGATATGGTGTTCTGTGCTATAAATCTTTTGTAACGTATAAAAAGCATGGAAATTGTGTTTTAGGACGTCGTGATCTTCTTCAGACCAGGCAAAACAAAAAAGGAAATAACGATGTTTAACAATGTGGACGAGTGTCTCGACATTGTTGTGTTCTTTTAAACTGGAATTGCTGCGAACGTTTTTATCTGAATGCAAAGCCGCTAAAAAATGTAATGGTAGAAGTTGGATAAGACAGTGGTTTGATACCCTAAGTGGAGCAACCCAAACAACGCATAATTGTGACGCCTTACAAAAGCATTTGGAGAGCCGCACTGCCCCCGTTTTGGAGCTGCACGATGTTCATGAGACCGAGTG